TCACTCCTCTCCTTTTCCACCAACTCCTCATTTATCTTCTTCTTTACTCTACCTTATCATGAGCATCTTCCTTGCTCTCTTTTTCTTTCGCATCGTATGTATTCTACTTTTTTTATTATCACTTTTCCTTGTTCTTTATTTTTTACCTCCTTTTCTCTTTTCTTCTCCTCGTCCTTTGTTCTATTTTCTGCTTCCTTCCCGTCTCCTTCTTCTATTGTGCTTCTTTTTCCGTTCAGTTCTTCCTTTTACTTTTTTCTTTTCCTTTGTTCCTCCTTTTACTTCATTATTCATCACCCTATCCTTCTTCATTTTTGTTCTGCTCTTTGTAGGTAATTGCCGCTTTCTCATCGTCATCATCCTCCTCTCTTTCTTCAGACACAAAGCCATTTTTCCAGAATAAATTGACACGAAGGGATATCCATGGGGTTCTGCACATCACGATTTTGCTCTTAATTTTTGAGGTAGGCTGCCATAGAACACCCTCCGTACAGCAATACTGCCTTGCTAAGGAAGAACGGCGTATGAGCCTTCAGGCGTTGCCAAATATCCTTCGACATAACACGAATTTTCAGGCAAATTTTTAAATATCTTTCTTCCAATTTCCAACGAATTTTGTTAAAAATTTGACCTAAAGTATTTGAAAATTTGGAGGAAAAATATTCATAACTTACTTTAAAAGTAAATATTTTCTGAGAGGCGATTTGGCAACATTCAAAGGCTAGTACGGCGTTTTTTCCCAAGCACGGTAGTTGCCTACTCGAGGATTTTTTTCTGTCTACAAATCTAACCTCCCAGTAAATTATCTACCTGACGATGTTGATGCTGTAGACAGGGTTGGATTTAAGGTTTAAGGCCCTTACGAGTTGATTGTTTAAATTGATAGACAAAGCTATAGACAAATATGCTAAAAGGGATATAGAGAGATCCTATATTGTTGGCAGCAAGAGGTTGCAATTGACAAAGGAGGTAAGTAATAGACTAACTAACGCAACCCACGAGATTTACTTACTTGCCGCCCATGGGCCGCCGCCTGTATTTTGCCGCCCCCTTCTCATTCGTTTTGAAACATCAATAAGAAACATAAGTGAGCGTGCCGGAGGGGGAGGGGTGCATAAGACTCGTTTACTCGTGTTGGAAAAATTTCTTGCGAGAGCCCTGTCAACACTATACTAGCAAAAGTTTACGGAACTTAGCGCGAAAGTTATGTTCCGTAAACCTATCTCTGTGTGGACAAGGCCTTCCATTTATATGAAATGAACGTAAAAGTAATGACAGAACAAACATAAATGTGGTTTAATAATTTTAACTTCCGACGCCGCGCCGCGCTGACCGCTCTGTGTTTGGCGCAATGCGTGGAGTATTCATACAGTCTTGTATGCGCTACGCGTTTCACGCCGACCGCTGCTGCACGCACTGCGTTTTACGCAATGCATGAAGTATTCATGCAGTCTTGTAGGCGCTATGCGTTTCACTCCGCCCGCTGCTGACCGCAGCGACCGCACTGTCTTTGACGCAATGCGTGAAGTATTCATGCAGTCTTGTAGGCGCTCATCATATGTTACATGCCGACCGCCGCGCCGCGCCGAGGGTTTCTCCGTTTCATCTCAAGTTCTCGTCATCATTACTCCTTGCGCCGCGCCATTCCAGACCAAATTCCGTGTTCGGTTTCTCTCTGTCTTAACTCGACTAATTAAAGTAATTAAAAGTGCTGTTTATTGTATGAAAGAAAGACGCCGAATTCGAAATAAACTCTCAGGAAATGAGATATTTTGTCACCTTTTCTCGTTTGTAATTTTTTTCTGATTCCGATTTTTCTTTATAGCTATATTTAAAAATATTGCAAAATTTGCCGCCATGGGCCGCGGCCCATGTGGCCACCCCCTAAATTCGGCCCTGCAGGGAAACTCGCAGTGTGATCGCTCCATACTCCAAGTGGCTTCTTTGTCTATAGCTTTGTCTATCAATTTCAACAATCAGCCGCTGGACGCAATTTATGGTGTGTGTAGGCTCCAAAATGTTTCGGAGCCTAAAAGTCTCTGGTCAGGCCCGGACTTAGGGCGTGTGCAAGGCGTGCGGCGCACACGGGCGCCAGCCTTTGGGGGGCGCCACGAAAGAAGAAGAGAGGGAAAAAAGGGGGGAAAAGGAAAAGGAAAAAAAGGGAAGAAAGGACAAGGGGAAAAAAGGAAAAGGAAACAAGGTTGGGCAGTGAAAGCAAGGAAGAAGGGGGGAAATGGAAGGAAAAAGGAGGCAAGGAAAGTGAAAAGAGAGTCCGCGAGAAAGGGGGGGGGCGTAAAAACCATAGACAAAATATAAAGAGAATTGCCTTCTAAAGGTAAATTTTCAGGACAAAAACTCCACCTGGTTCATAGACGGTCAGGCGCCCCTTGACTCTAAATTTGCGGCTGTGCAGAAATACAAGAGTAGGCATGTAGTAAGGGGGCGCCATAAATCCATCGAACAGGAGCCGACATAGCATTTTAGGCCACGTGCGCCATCTTGGATTTGAGAATTTTTAAACAAAGAAAAATTCGAGTTTCCGGTCGAAAAATACCCTCAGACACCGAGTTTCAAAAAATCCATCGAACAGGAGCCGACAGCATTTTAGGCCACGTCCGCCATCTTGGATTTGAGAATTTTTAAACATAGTAAAAATTCGAGTTTCTCGTTGGAAAGTACCCCTGATCTCGCGGTTCACAATGCTCTAACGAACGGAAACGAAGGCCAGAACCGGGGCTCATTTTAGGCCACATCCAACATTTTGGAGATGAGAATTTTAAAAAATCACTGAAAATTCGAGTTTTCCTTTGAAAAATACCGTGTGATACCGCGTTTCACAAGACTCGAACAAACAGAAACCGAAATAGCATTTTAGCCCACGTCCGCCATCTTGAATTTGAGAATTTTAAAAAGTGGACTAAAAATTCGAGTTTCCCGGCGAAAAATACCTCCTGACACCGAGTTTCAGAAAAATCCATCGAACAGGAGCCGACATAGCATTTCAGGCCACGTCCGCCATCTTGGATTTGAGAATTTTCAAAAATCGACTAAAAATTCGAGTTTCCCGTCGAAAAGTACCAACTGACACCGAATTTCAGAAAAATCCATCGAACAGGGGCCGAGATAGCATTTTAAGCCATTTCGGATTTTCGAATTTTGAATTTTTTGAATTTTGACAGATTTTGATTTAAAACGCGTGATCCCCAAAATCGAAGCTTAGATTCGGATTCCTCGTAAAAAATCGATGCGATTTCATGTATCATACCCTGACACCGAATTTCAGAAAAATCCATCGAACAGGAGCCGAGATGGCATTTTAAGCCACTTCAGTCATTTCGGATTTTTGAAGTTGAAAAATTTTACTTAAAACGCGTGATACCCAAAATCGAAGTTCAGATTCGGATTCCTCGAAAAAAATCGATGCGATTTCATGTATCATACCCTGACACCGAATTTCAGAAAAATCCATCGAACAGGAGCCGAGATGGCATTTTAAGCCACGTAAGTCATTTCAGATTTTCGGATTTGAAAAATTTGACTTAAAACGTTTGATACCCAAAATCGAAGTTCAGATTCGGATTCCTCGTTAAAAATTGATACAATTTCATGTATCATACCCGAGCATAGCGTGAAGGAAAGAGACGTAACGTAGACATACTGATTCGAGCATATGAATGCAACGTGGCAACATGGGTAGTGCTTAGTGGGTCAGCGGAGGAGGAAGAACAAGAATTTATCGTGAGGAATTCCTCGCGACGAAACCGAACGCTTAAGCGCCAGCCGGCGCTTCCGCGTTCGGTTGCATCTCGGGTGACCGGCGCGACGCGGCGGCGTAGTTCAAAGAATTCAAACGACAGAATCTGTACGCGTCGTTAAACCTTTTTCCTTCACGGTATTTTAACATATGATACATGAAATCTAATCAATTTTTCACGAGAAATCCAAATCTGAGCTTAGATTTTGGATATTAAGCATTTTAATCTATTTAAAATCGTAAGAGAATTTACAGAATTGTCCTTGGAAATTGATCACACATTAGTGTTGTCTTACGTCTTTAAACCTCTTTCCTTCACGCTATTCTAACATATGATGCATGAAGTCTCATCAATTTTTCACGAGGAATCCAAATTTGAGCTTAGATTTTGGATATTAAGCGTTTTAATCTATTTAAAATCGTAAGAGAATTTACAGAATTGTCCTTGAAAATTGATCACACATTAGTGTTGTCTTACGTCTTTAAACCTCTTTCCTTCACGCTATTCTAACATATGATGCATGAAGTCTCATCAATTTTTCACGAGGAATCCGAATCTGAGCTTAGATTTTCGATATTACGCGTTTTAATCTATTTAAAATTGTAGAAGAAATTACAGAATTGTCCTTGAAAATTGATCACACATTAGTGATTTTTTACCCCGTTTTTCTTCTACGTTCACGTAATGAAATTAGATCAACAGTTAACTCATCGACTAGTCTAGCCTAACCCCCCAGAATCGGTCTAAAGGGCGAACGATTTTATCAGATAAGATGTCCTAGTTTCCGGGCATTTGCGGTATGATGGAAGCTGCGATGAGGAGAAACGGAAGATATGCGAAACTCGGGCGGGTATTAAGTGAGAAACCAGGTAGGGGAAAGGCTTTCTTCCAGAAAAGTTAGTGCTCGGGCCAACTTACATGGTCACTGGAGCATTGTATAGCAGGTTGTGGGAAACTATTTTTTTGCAGCAACAACCAATTGGATCGCATTTTGCAAAAAGGAACTAAGAGCATTTCAATGTTGCTGGGATTGTGCAACTTAGGTACATGCTTTGCAAAAAGTAAACTTTGCGACGGTAATTTTCGTCTTGAATTCATAGTTTATTGGGAGTAGAGGTGAAACTAGTTAAGATGATCGTTTATGTTTTCAAGGTTAGCGACATTGGAATGCTCTTGCTCTGATGCTTATTAATAATAAACCTACACTTGGACTATCTCATAGCTCTGGCTGGGTTTTGACTGTTGCAGGATGACGGTGACGGCTGACGGTTCAAAGGATATCCATGAGGTTTTGGCTTTAGCCTTCAGATGAGTGTGTGAGGAACGGACACCTGGTCTTGCTCGTAAATGTGAGTCCTTTGCACTTGTTGTAGTCTTAAGGGGCAAGCATAATATTCGCATGCATATGAATGAAAAAAGTTGGAGGTGTCATGTGCAAGAATATGATGAACAGAATTATAAAACTTTTTCGCATTCATTTGTACTTGGTGCGGACTAAGTGTAAATTAGTACGAGAGAGTTTCAAAGTTTGGTATAGACAAGGTGTAGAAAGGGCATTTCTTGATTGCGGTGTTTTAGAATCATCACTGCTAATGTATATTTTAGAGAGAAAAATATTGGATGAATTTTATGAAATGTCTCGTTTTCAGCATTGTAAAATCATGAAAAGAATACAGTAAAAAATTCAACGGATTGCATCCATTTGCTTTAATTATAATTGGATGAAACGTTAGCAAAGATTCTGAACCACCGTAACCAAGAAACGTCCTTCTTGCACCCAGCGATTCAATTTAACACTTACGTAAATCACGTTCAATGGTAAACATATAGGTAGATGTTTTAATACAAGCCTTGACATTTTTTACTACCAATAAGTCAAGAATCTGAATTTTTGTATTTGCACTCGCCCTTCATATTTTTTTGGAAATACCTTAAAAGCCTAAGTGGACCGTGTTAAGCAGAAATGAACCAAGCCACAGCAGCTATTGCCAAATCGAATTTGGCAATTTAATGTTTTACATGAAAACGGTTGTGCGGATTTTTGTGGAAGTTTCATTGAATTTACTGCTTAGCAAAAAAACAAATTCCTGAAAATTTTCAAAGGAATCCGCACAAACGTTCTCTTGTAAAAAATTAAAGTGCTCAGTTAAATTTAGCAAAAGCTGATGTCGCTTGGTTCCTTTCTGCTGAACGCGGTCCATTTCGACGTATTTCTGCTAAACGGAAGTATTGACGAGTGGTGAGTGGAAAAGATGGGGTGTGCTCTAGAAAGCTTCATAAGAAACAACGTTAAAGTGGGCGTGATTCCCTTTGGAGAAATGGAAAACGGGAATTTTACATTCTGTCAAACAGAACAATGTGCCAACTAAATGCGGCATTCATGAGCCGTGGGAATGCCAAAAGAGCGTTGTGGACAGGGCTCATGAGTTAAAGCTGAGCAAGAGCGACAACGAAGACGACTTCGTTGCCGCTGACGTCACTGGCGCTTTATAATCCCCATTCATTCTTACGGTACTTAACTAACGAGCACACCCCTTATTTTCCACCTGCCTCTGATTCCATTTGGCAAAAATAGACGCTATTAGTGCCACGTCACAGAAAAGCGACATATATCCATTTTTTCGCATTGAGAGCATTGAAAAAGTTTACGCCAATGTTATTGTTTGGATCCAATTCTATATAATGGAGAATCCCTCCGATGACGTCACCTCTAGTAGCGTCCAGTGTTCGAAACTCACAAGCGCCAACTCGCCAAATGCGCCTAAAAAATGAAGGCTCTGCGCCAACGTGGCCCCTAAAAATTGACTCCTAAAAATCTGAATTTTCATACTAGGCGATTATTCGAAATTTGCAGCACCACAAGTGAAAGCTTTTTCTATTCTTCACGATTTCATTATTTGTGCTTTTGTCTTCCCCAAGTTACAGCTACTTACTAGTTCTGTTAGAAAAACATCTTGCGTCTAACTTTTCACTAAATGCGCCGTAATATATAGGCAAAAAGTCAATTTGACCCCTAAAAAATCTTCAATGGCGCCTAAAAATCGGGCTTGATGCGCCACATGGCTCCTAAAACTCAAAGGTGAGTTTCGAACACTGGTAGCGTCTGTACGTCCATTTGAAGCGAATAAAAATAACAACTTTCTTCCTCCTTCTCTTATTTCTCTTAATTTCTTGACGGTTCTAAACTTGATGGTTTCCAGGTTGTGAGGACCAGGTGATGGAGAATGCCTGCCGTAAAGCGAGGCATAACTGCTGAGCACGGCCCAGGGCGGCCCGTAGGCCAGCTGGGTCCAGGATGCTTCGTCCCAAAGGATGAAGAAGCAAAACGTCCGGACCCTCTCTCTAATAGTTTGCACGTTCACTTATCTCCTAGTCGGCGCGGCTGTCTTTGACGCTCTCGAATCCGAGACAGAGAAAAAGCGCTGGGAAGCCTTGGACGGTAAGTTCGACTCGAAAGTCCCGAAACTTTCTCCCGCTTTAATCGCCCGGTATCAAAGCATCTTTACGCGAAGAGAGGTTAATATTGCCGTGCTAAGGAAGAACGCCGTATGAGGCATTAGGCGTTGCCAAATTTCCTTCGAAAAACAACGAATATTCAGGAAAATTTGTGAATATCTCTCCTTCACTAGAAAAAAACACATTGGATCTAGAGTCCAGACTCTTGAAAACATCGACAAGAAAAAGGACTCTTGATTCAATCAGACTTAAGCTTAAATCAAAAGGAAATCCGCTCAAATTAAGAGGATTTAAGCTTAAATCTGATTGAATCAAGAGTACTTTTTCTTGTCGATGTTTTTAAGAGTCTGGACTCTAGATCCAATGTGGTTTTTTTTTCAGTGTCCGATTTTTCGGAGGATTTTGTTCGAAATTTGATCCAACAAGTTTGACAATTTCAATGAAAAGTATTCATAACTTTCTTCAAAAATTTATATTTTCTGAGAGGAAATTTGGCAACATTCGAATGCTCATAAGGCGTTCTCCCTTAGCACGGCAGAATAATACCCGGCGTCGTGAAGACTCTTTTGGACCCAAGTATGACGGCGGACTTGCGTAGGAGGGGGGGGGGTGCTCTTGTCTTTTGACAGTTACCGCAAAGACCTCTAATACCATCCAGACTTTGTATAACCGCATGCTTTGGGCGCCGAAGGCGAAGCTGACACGTGGGTTGACTTTGGGGTACGTATTGCACGCAAGAGAGCTACAACTTGGTCCACGTTGGCTAAGTTGAACTTTATGTAGCGAGCTTACGTGCTTGGAGTACTTCACGGGGAAAAACATAATTGCAGCTCGAATCGGCGTGAAAAAATGTCAGTTCGAAGCTAATGATCTCTACTTTTATGGAGAGAGAGCATTTGTTGGATTGAAAGATAATATTTTTAATTTATTTTTCAAATTTTTGTAGTAATGGGGTTTTTAAAAATTGCAACCCAAGTAGAAACCTTTAATTTCAGGATGAGGTGTCGTCAAAATCCTCTGGTAAAAATGACTTTTCCACGATTTGTTAAGTTAACTTGTTAGACCAACACGCAAGGCCCCACTTTGGTTCACATCGTTAGTCAGAATACCGCGGCCGGGGTAGCGGGTAAGTAACGTCTGTCAAACATGTAACGCGGTAACGGGGTAACGTGTGTCTAAGTAACCGGGCAGAAGTTATTTAGATCCTAAATTGTATTGGGGGACTTTGGCCTGACCCAGACTTTCAAAATCTAAAAATAATGGTGAATTTTGATGGGAATTGAGGGGGATATTTCCAACTTTCGACGTTTACTACTTACTAGACTTGTCTCAAGAATTTCAACAGGGGAGGCCCATGCTGGAATAAATCGTATCGCATTCAGTGCACAAAATTGATTTTTAATCTAGATGAACAAAAAATCGTATTACGTAAAGTAAAATTTGTCAGAGGTAAAAGCAAACAAAACCATAATGTTGGTCCATTTGGACTGGGTTTTGCAAAAAGGAACCAGGAGCAATGCTATGTTGCTAAGATTTTGCAACTTCACCCTTTGCAATAAAACTACTATAAAATATGAAATTTATATGGAAATGTTTGTCTTAAATTTACAGATTTTAGCGTGTAGAATAGAAAATGTTTAGATGATCAGAGTTTTTCTTCCAAGACAAAAGGAATTGCACAATCTTAGCACCATTGCAATGCTCTTGATTCCTTTTTGCAAAATGCAATCCATTTGTTCCACATCTGATTAAAACGTCCGCTATCCTCGGTCTCCTTGAAGCCGATCAGAAAAAATTTCAGGATAGCCTCGCTCTAAATCAAATACTTTACACGCCATAAAATTCTTCTTGTGGGGGAAAAATTATGAAACATGGCAACTGATAGTTCTTTCCTGTTTCTCCACTTCCGAGAATGGCAGGTGAGTAAACTAGGTAAAATATTAGCCAACCAACAACACAAACTCTACCCTCTCCCATGTGCGATTCCCGAGAACTAAAACTAGCCGAGCCGTTTTTTCCATCAACGTATGTATATTGAGTGTGGATTAGGTTTGCCTAGCATTCAGGTGAGTTGACTCACGGGGCTTTATCCAACGCTTGGATCAAAGTTGCTTCCCGCTTTTACAGAATGTAATTAAGGTTGCGCTGCACATTGCATGTATTGCTAAGCGTAATGATAAAGGCCGCTTTATACTTTCGATTTTAGAGCAAAAAAAGTAAATAAAGTGAGGAGAGAATCGATTTTGTGAAACAAGAGAAACGGGAACCTCCTATGCGGCGTTTCAGAATTGCTGCTGTCACTGCGCGAAAGGAAATGGGGAAAAAATGAGAACCCTTAATACTTCTTTCACTTTATTGATTTTGGATAGTCATTGAAGAAAATGAAATAAGAGCATGGGATGAATTTAATTAATTTTGAACGGTCGATTTTTGTGTAAGAATGAAATGTAGCAGGAAGTTTGCAAAGTCGTAAGCATGAGCCATTAGCCAAGATTATGTTTTTCTAGTTTCACCATCAATTGGCGATGTTGCCACTTTAGCAAGGAAACGTTAGTTTCAGAGCAAGTTGTGTAGGGTACTGGAAAGAAACCGCATTGGATCTAGAGTTCAGACTCTCAAAAACATTGACAAGAAAAAGTACTCTAGATTCAATCAGAATCTAGCTCAAATCAAGAACCAAGCCTCTTAATTTAAGCGGATTTCGTTTTGATTCAAGCAAAAATCCGATTGAATTAAGAGTAGTTTTTCTTGTCAATGTTTTCGAGAGCCTGGACTCTAGATCCAATGTGTTTTTTTTCCAATGGAATTTAAATTTTTTTTGACTTGGAGGTTGGTACTCTTATCTGGAGTATAAATTGATCTAAAACTCCCATGAGCCCGGGTCTCAAATAGAATTGAGCCATTTCAATAGGCGAATTTTCCCAAGTGGATTTGGTTAAGATTGTTACCGTTACGACAAAACAAAAGTCCCTACGGGCGTTCAATGATGAATGATTGAACAGCTCTCCCTTAGCGCGACACGCACGTAAATTGAAATGAGCCGGTACGTTGCGTGTAGGCCGATTTTCTCTCACAAATTTTCGTTAATTTTTCACAAAGAAAAATTACGATGGTGAAGCTGCAGAAATGCGTATCTCGGAAAAGACGACTTTTCAGGAGAGCGAAAAAACTGTCTACATTCCGCCTTACTGGCAATAGAATGTAAATAGTTCTTGCGGATAGCAAGAATAAGGGCTTTTTCGGACTCAATTAGCAGTTTGGATAATTTTTCGAACTGTTAGAAAATACGGCAGAAATACCGAGATTTGCGTTTTCGTTACTGAGAATTGACACTAATCACGAGTTACGCATTTTTGCAATTAGTGTTTTAAACCTGTTGTTGACGGGTTTTGATCACTCAATGTCTGATGAAAAAAGAGTTTCACGCTTAAAATTTCCTATCAGAAGGGTTTCAGGACATTCCGTCAACGATTTTTTGTCCGGGCACCTGTTTAGTCCAGTAATTTACGTCCACACGTAAAATAAAAACCAGTGATTTGGCCCAAAGGATATATTTCAGTCCGTATGTAATGTAATATTTTCAAAACACACGTCATATCTTCCTTTAATACATATTTTTTTTTTCATCAATTTAAATGAGACTAATCCGTGCAGAGCGTGCAAATATTTCAAAATCATGAGTTGAAAAACGCTGACTCCGCGAGTTTAAATATTTGAGCCTGACACAGACAGAAATGCGCACTGGCGCCTACAAACCTAACGGGATACTTCACGCGTTGCGCAATGCGTGAAGTATCCCTGTTAGGTTTGTAGGCGCCTATGCGCGTGTCACGCTGGTCGCCCGCCGCGGAGTGCCACGTCGTTTCAAGCAACTATTTCGCGACATAGGTGTTGCACAGTATCATAGGTGCTCCAACGTATTGAGAATGACAAGCTTCCCTTAAGGGTACAGAGCTCTTCTTGCAAAATAAATCAAGATACTACGTTACAAAAAGAGAGTGGTAATCTATAAAACTCACTTAGTCCTAGCATCCGTTTTTAATAACGTTTAGCTAGCATAATTTTTGAATTTCATTAGAGAACAATGTGACTCTGTTTAGGCAGAAACATTATTGACTATGCTGTCAAGAAGATTTTATTTTGAATCAAGAATAAAATAGCTGAATGAAAGCGGGTTTTTGCTTGATCTAATTGACTTTTCTTTTTATTTAAGCATCCATTTTTCTCTAAACAGGCATTATTTTCTTTATTGATTTATAAGGAAATCTTCTCGGCGGTAAATTTGAGCATATTTCTGCTTGAATCAGGTATTCTTTTCCTTTAATTAAGTTCAAAAATCATGCTAAACGTTACTGGATCAGATACTTGCAGGACTTAGCAAGTTTTTCGATTGCAGCTCTCTTTTTTTCGTCGTCTCGATTTAATTTGCGAGGGAACTTCGTGCTTTTGAAAGATGCCATCAATCATGATACGTTGGAGTGCCTTCAATCTTGTATGATACTTTGCAACACCTTCATGGCGAAACAGTACTATATACTGCGGCACGCCGGCGCCGTCGCGAAGTTATCGTACACAGGAAAAATCTAAGAGCCCTCAGCTGAGGAAAGTCAAAAGGTTCATCCGATTCAGGTATAAGAAGATGGGATTTTCTTGAAAGATAATTAAGTCCTATTGCACCAAAGAGGTGTAGGGAGTTTTGGTGAATTTCCTCTCATATAATTGACGCCAAAATTCTCAATTATATATTTGTGTCCGTTTGGCCAACCAAACAAACAAAAAACGAGCAAACCCTCATTCTTCCAAGACATTATACATTTCATCCAAAAACGCTGTGAGCAAATGTTGTTTGTATTTACATGTTGACCAATTAACTTTGGGTCTCTTTGGGTAACTTTTGATTGGTAAGTGGACCAAAACTCCCCTGCCGAAAAAACGCGTGGACTTAAACTACTGGAAAAAACAAGAGTAAGTGTTCGGACAAAAACTCGTTGACGAAATGTCCTATAATCATCAGAAGCTTTAGTTGATCCCCTACAGCTGGATCAAGCATCGTATGATTCGATGGACTCAAAATGCAACTGATCGTTATGATGAATACCCTGTGTCCACGATTGCATTAGCCTAGAGGCTTCCGTAAGTACTGAGTTGCACTGAAAAATAAGACAAATTTTTATATTAATTATGATTCGTGTTCCAACGGTGTCATCAAAACGCCATCAACAGCGGAGGAGGAATGGAAAGGAGAGGAAAAGAGGAGGATGGAGAGGGAGGAAAAGGGGGAGAGGGTCGGAAAATTCCGGAGGGGTATAGACGGAAATTAACATTTCCTAATAAAACCAATATTTCAGCAAAATATTCCCGATATCTCGATACCTGTTTACCTCCGAGGAAGATTCACTGTAAATTTCATAGTGCTATACTGGCGCGCCAAGAAAAACCGCCGTATTAACATTCAAGTGTTGCCAGATTTCTTTTGATAAAATGTTTATTTTTAAGGAGAGTTGTGAATATTTTTCCTTGAAATTTTCAACAACTATAGGTGAAAATGCGAACAAATCGTCGCTTCCCGGACGAAGGAACATAACTTCATTCCAAGGTTGCAAAATTGACCCAAGAAATTCAATTTTTATGAGAATGTACCTAAGTAATTTTCGTCCAAAATTTGCCTGATTTTTACACGGAATCAAAAGAAAAATCAGTAAAATTTTCGGTTAGAAATGCCCAAAATTCCCTTCGTATAATTACGATTTGCAAAGGAAAATTTGGCAATGCTGAAATTTAGTTACGGTCTTTCGTGGGGGAAACGACGAAATATACCTAAAAAATTGGAAGGAAAATATTCATAAGTTTACGAGGAAATTTGTGTTTCATCAACGGAAATTTGGCGACGCCTGAAGGTTCATACGTCGTTTTCCCTTAGCACGGCAGTATAGATAAAGGCTGCGGTATGCGAACGCCACGTTGTTTTGCCACGAATAATGCTGAGAGCGGTGTGCGGTTTTTTTGTTGCAGCTATAGAAAGAATGATAATTCGAAAATACAATATTTCTCGGGACGACTACAAAGTAATGGAAACGGTCGTCATCAAAACCGAGCCGCACAAAGCGGGACAGCAATGGAAATTCGCCGGTGCCTTTTATTACGCTACCACTGTGCTCACAACGATCGGTAGGTGATAACAATTTCAAATATATTCTCTTCGCCGAGACATTTATCGGTTTGTAATATTCCCGCGTTGCCACTGGGAGATGATTGGGCTAACCTAGAATCAAAGCGGGTACTCGCATTCCCGCCTTACACGGAGAAGCGATCGGCTACTCAAAAACGGGCTATCCATGTTCGGATAGATCGACTGCCGTGATAGCGAAGAGAGCAGTAAGTGTCAAATTTTCGAAATCGAGTTCCCTTCAAAATCTGTCTTAACTCTTGTGGATGAAATCACTGGGATAGCTTAAACAGCAAAATTCATATACATTTAAAAAAAAAACGAGAGATATGAGAAAGCCGCCAGTGCGCAAAAAATGACATAGTTTTAGAAAAGACAGCAGTAAGTGACAATATTCCTCCAAAGTGTCAATCAAAACAGTGCTTTCAAAGCGCCGTCCTCTTTTATGAATTTCTAATCTAAAAATGTCTTTCTCGTGTGTCCAAAATGCAAGCACGAAAGCATGCAGAAGATAGCACTTACTGCTATCTTGCCTAAGAATAGCCTAGCATAAAAATGAAAAATACCATTTTTATGTAATTGAAATAAAATAAGTCGATTTTTCAAGTCATTCAAATGATTTCTAGGAGTCTTTCGGATGATGAGTGGCAATTTGAGAAAGAACGGAGGCTTCTTTCAACACAATTTTCCGGTTAGAAGCTTCTGAGCCCGTTTTCTCAAAACTTCATTTTTGCAGTTACTATGCTCTCTTCGCTATCACGGCAGCAGAGGGAGGTGATTGGGGTAAGCGGGTAGTACTAGCATTCCCGCCTTACACGGAGAAGCGATCAATTAATAAAAAACGGACTATTTCTATTCTGATAGATCGTATTCTACAGTAGATCGATGTATCGGTTGGTTCAAAATAATAGAACGTAAACTCAAACGAAAATTTTAGGATTTAAGTTGAAAAGCAGGGAAATTCCCAATAATTTCACTCTTCATTGCCATTTTGTACTCAGAAGTATCAAAAATCTATCACTTTCATTATTAAAATTATGATAATTGCACGACCTCCAGACAGGGCAATGAAGATGCCGCATTTGGTTCTGAACGCCTCACTTCTAAGGTCCTCTTAATATTGAGGTGGCAAACGGGCAAATTCCTAAAGTTTTCCAAACAACTTAGATCCATTTCATGGAGGATGCAATCCAATCTCGATACAATCACAGCTTTTTAAGACGGTGCTTGTGTGAATTGCAGGCTATGGCCATTCGACGCCCAACACTATAAGCGGGAAGCTGTTCACGGTCTGCTATGCCATGGTCGGCATCCCTCTCGGATTGGTCATGTTCCATTCCATCGGTGAACGGCTCAACAAACTCTCCTCTGTCGTCATCCGACACGTCAAAACCCTCATGAGGTGCGTCCTATGTTTTTTTAATTGCTACGCAAACCTTTACATTTTTTCTAACGTTGCTCCAGCTTTATGATGAAAAAATCAAATGAGGGGCTTGGAGGACAGGGCGCATAAGTGCAGTTTTAGAACAATTGAGATATTAGGTGATGATATCAAGCAAAACTAGATCGCACTTAGCAAAAAGGAATCAGCGCGATCACAGTGTTGTAAAAATGTTGCTTCTTCATTATGATCTTAAAAATCTCTCAGAATAGTAAATGGTTTCCCTTCCCACCAAAAAATTGTTTATTTTAAATGGAATGATTTTGTTAATTTTAATACCATACACATATTGAGTATTTTTAAAGGATAAGAAAAAGTTGTACGATTTTGAAAACAGTGTAGTTGCGCTTTATGTTAAATGTGATCCAACTAGTCTTAATTCGTAATTTGTGAAAAATTCGCTCCCAGACTCAAATTTTTAAGCATCAAAAATTCAATTTGAACTTTTTTCCCTCCATATAAGGATCCACGTAATTTCGAAACTTCTATCACGTGCTTCTCGAAGAAGCAAAAGCAGCACTTATGCGCCTTGTCCTCCAAGCCGCTTAAATGTCTTACAATTTGTGGAAAATGTGGAAAATTTGAGAATCTTGTTTTTGGAATATTCAAAAAGGGGGACTGTGGAAGTTAATTTATGCCCATATTTTTTAGATAGAACCTATAAGGAGCATGCTAATGGGCCTGTTGCAAACTTTTGCTAGAGCAAAAATAAGAGTTGTTTCTTATAGATAATGCCTCAAAAATCACGATGAGCGCATCGGCAAAGTCTGAAATGCACTCATAACTTCACAATCTGCGTAAGAAATTTGCGTTTTTTTAAGCTTCCCGCTTCAAAAACGATACTACGGCACAGGTGAACATTTTGTTAGAGGAGTCGCTCCGTCGTCGGCGATATTCATCATGGCCGACGCTTGCGCGCAGTTCCGCGCGTAATTCGAGGAGAGTTCAAGGTCAATCAATTCGGGCGTGGAAAATATGAACGTTAACACGCCGATTGTTATCTGGTCTAATTCAGTTCAGGTGTTATCTCGTCCCATCACACGTGTTTTGGCGGATTGACGTCGGCCATGATGAGTATTGCCCACGATGGAACGACTCCTCTTACAAAATGTTCACCTGTGCCGTAGTATCGTTTTTGAAGCGGAAAGCTCAAAGAACCGCAAATTTCTTACGCAGACTGTGAAGTTATGAGTGCATTTCAGACTTTGCCGATGCGCTCATCGTAATTGTTGAGGCATTATCTATAAGAAACAACTCTTATTTTTGCTCTAGTAAAAGTTTGCAACAGGCCCATTTGCTTATAAAAACAGTAAGACAGCAAACTATTGGGGAAAATTGCATTGGAAATGATGGAGATGGATTGGAAGGGACGAGGAGGGACGGGAGGCAACCAGTGGCGTAGCGTGCTTCGCGATTTATCGATTTGTCTGCCATTAAAACCTATGGAAAAGGATCGATAGATAAGGTGTTTGCAACGAATACCTTGATAATCGATTCTTACCATAGCTTCAAATGGGGAGATATTGATAATCGATCATTCATGCCTCGCCACTGAGGGCAACCTGCGCATGAGGAAGAATAGGATGATACCTATAAAATCACATCTTTGGGCTGAAAATGTTATGAAAATTCTTGAGGGTCCCATTTCCGCTGATCGCATCCAATTTATAAAACTGATAGACGTTGTCTAAACTTATCGACCATGAGACCATAGAAACCGCGTGCCTCGATTGCAAAGTTTCGACATTTCTGCTCCTAATTTATTGTTTTGAGGGAATATTACTGAGCATTCTTGTATGGAATTTCCCAAAAATTCCTTAAAAAGAAAACACGGCGAAGGAGATGCATACGAAATTATGTGAAGATGAATTGGAAGGGACGGAAATGAGGGACGAAAAGGAACGGGAAGCAACCTGAGGCATCAGTCTTCTTTCAAAACAGTAAGAGTTGACACTGAAATCAGTAAAGTCACATATCGAAGTGCGTGCGGTTATGTCAGTTCTTTATTAATGTCTGGACGAGGAGGACATCGAAATTGATCTAAAAGCATTCGCATCTTCTATTCAACGTCACCTCATCAGTGAAAAACCCTCCATACACATATGAGCACGACGTTCGCATATTTCTGTAAGCGAAGAGGAAGAAGGAGCGCCTTCAATTTTCATTGTATGCAACACGGAGAAATACTAAGCGGTAATAAATGCACTCACAGTTGTACTCAGGCGCTTGATGTCAAGGTTGCTTGGACGGCTTTAACTAGGATCAGCCTATCTGCATTTCACATTGAATTCTTTCCTTTCACGTCTTTTTTATTTACCTATCTGTTTACTTTCATAGTAAACCAAACAATATACTTCCTTGAATAGTCTTGTAAATTCACTTTAGGTTATAAAAAATGTGTACTCACAAAAATTTACGTCTGACTCCGCTAAAAATAAATTGTTCGGAGAATATTTCGGGGTTTCATCGACGTCGATTTATTGCAATATTGTCGGATGAAAAATTGCGATAAATTGTTAGTTCATCGCATAAAGCAAGAAAATCGCGATTTTATCGAACGAAATGTCGTGATAAGTTATAAGACAAAATTTCGATTCTATCGAATGCGATTTTATTATTATTAATTAATAGAGATAAATTCGCGACGAGATAGATGATGATCCTAGCGATTTTATTGCCAACAAATTGTAAAAAAAGGGCAACTTAATTTCTAAATATCGCGATTTTCCCGTTGAAAAATGCTACATGGGGAGGACGTTTCCCCGCCACGGCAGAGGAAAATTTCGTCGTCGAAGAACACATTTTGTGTTCTTTATTCGTCTTCCAGGGACAGAATTGTTCTCCACCGAGGACAATTCATTTTTATTAAGGAATGAAACTCGGTCTTTTGGTAAAAACTAAAGCATATGAGAATTTTTGGGAACGTTCAATGCAGTTAAGCTGATGTTTGTTGAATCTACGCGTTTACAAGAGAGTGCTTAGCGCTTAGATCTTTCTTTTTTACATATCTTGCGTTCTAATTTTTCTCATGATTCATACGCATAATTCAAAGTGACATTGAGGTTAAATAAATAAATAAAAAAAGGTGTCGAATTAAATTAAATCTTGATAAAGTATGCATCCATTGAGCTATACACTAACCTAAATGGGATGCATCTAGGTCGAAAAACACGGAGGCGACGGAGATCAACCTCATCTGCGTCGTCACCATCCTGAGCAGCCTTATCATCACTGGAGGAGCGGCCATCTTCTCAAGATACGAGGGCTGGACTTACTTTGACTCGGTAAGTCCACGTTTATTTTTTTCAACGAATTATCCATGGACGAATTCACTTGACGTATACACGCAAAAGAGGTGTGGCTATCTTATAAAACCTATACTGAAAAATAAACTCCGGCCGTGGAAGCCGTGCTTACGGGCTGTATGGACATACCATCCGCGTTCCGGGCTCAGTGGCCGGACTTTTCGAGCGTAGCACCCAGAGCAATCAAAGCTACGGCTCTTAGCACCCAAAACTTATGACCTTTGAGCCCGAAACGGACGGTATTTGCGGTGCACTGTGCTACATGAAGACCTGTATGCAGTGCTCCCAATCCAAGTCCGTCAAAGGTTCCGGAATTCGGAACTTTTTTGTTCCAATTTCTCCCACTCTACGACAGTCAAAAGTTCCAGGATTTCTTCAAGATTTTTTCAAAGGTTCCGAGAAAGTTCCAGAAAATTCAAAAGTCCCGGAAAATTCAAAAGTTTTAGAACATCTCGGGTATTTCAGAAGTTCCGGAACATTTTGGGAATATCAAAAGTTCCGGAACATTTCGGGCATATTAAAAGTTCCGGGGAAAAATTCAGAAAAACCTCAAAAGTTTCGGAATTCGGAACTAGTCCCGAGAAATGGGAGCTCTGCCCCAGAATGTCGAATGAAAATGAATATGGATACGAAATGGATGTTGGATGAAAATCTTGGAATCTTGCTTCTTCAATCAAAATCTCCGAGTATGTATTGACACACTGGAAAATAAAACACATTGGATCTAGAATCCAGACTCTTAAAAACATCGACAAGAAAAAGTACTCTTGATTCAATCAGAATCTAGCTTAAATCAAGAACCAAACCTCTTAACTTAAGCGGATATCGTTTTGATTCAAGCAAAAATCCGATTGAATCAAGAGTATTTTTTCTTGTCAATGTTTTCACGAGTCTGGACTCTAGATCCAATGTGTTTTTTTCCAGTGTACGAAATGGATATTGGATGAAAATCTTGGAATCGTGCTCCTTCAATCAGAATCTCCGAGTATGTATCGACATGGAGATTTTGATTGAAAAAGCATTGAGGTGGTGTCGTCTGTTTGCAGGTATACTACTGCTTCATCACGCTGACGACGATCGGTTTCGGGGACATGGTGGCCCTGCAGAAGGACAACGCTTTGTCGGAGAAGCCCGAGTACGTGGCGTTCGCGCTCATCTTCATCCTCTTCGGCCTGGCCATCGTCGCCGCCTGCCTCAACCTCCTCGTCCTCCGCTTCGTCACCATGAACACCGAAGACGAACGACGCGACGAAGCCGAGGCTCTTCAGGTATGAACACTTCAAACAACTCATTTCCGCGTCAATATCAAGAACGGAAGACATGTCTTGGGTCCCGATCCACCCGCAGTGGGAGAGAGAAAAATAGATACAAATACAGGAAGAAGATAGGTATAACTCCCGCGGGACAAAGGCCGAAAAATAGAGACTTTAAGACGTTCATTGTGACCAGCGGGCTGATTAGTGAAATTGATAGACAAAGCGATAGATAAAGAGGACATCGACGGTGTAAGTCGGCAATCACATAACTCGTTTGCGGTGTCTGAAAATCTCCGCCTCCATGTTATTTTTTTAAAGGAGAACAAATTGACATCATACCTTGAAGTTTTTGCAGAATTTTCTTCGCACAGAGAAGAAAAATCACGGCAGTTTTAAAGAATAGCCGTTGAGTAGTTTTCCGTTTAAAAAATAAAGTATGACAGGAAGTGTGCGACGTTGCAAACCGAGTTATGTGATTGCCGACTTACACCGTCGACATAGGGAGTATGGAATGATCCTACTGCGGGCTGATTGTTGAAATTGATATACAGGGTGAGCGAAAAGTCCCCGACCCCCCCTCTAACCTTTGAACGAATTGAGCTAGGGAAATGAAACTTTGGGGATGTTCCTATCTCAAAGGGGACCATCTTTTGGGGGGGTCAAAATTTTGGTCCCCCCCTCAGGGGGGAACGGGGGCCCCCCCCACTTTTTTTTTCAAATGGCAACCCCTATCTTGTGATACCTCATTCGAAAGAGCATAAAAAACTAAGAATTTTGGCGCAAACCGCAGATCAATATCTTAATTTTTGACCGAGTTATGATAGGTCAAAGGTCAACTTTGACCTATTTTCAAAAAATCATAACTCCGGTTCAAATTATCGTAAAGGAAAAAATAAAACAGGAAAATTTACCAAATTGTGTCCGATTTTAAGTAAAAATTGCAAAAATTACTTCGATTTAATTTTAAGGGGGGGCTCGGACCCCCAAATACGTCAATTCAAAGGTCATTCAATTTTCCCGCGAAATAAGCCAATATCCCCTGGATTTGCCTCCACATTATCTCAGTAAGGTCAAAATCAGTTCAACATTACGTTGGCAAGTCCCCAAATTTTGGGAAAAGTTAAAAAAAAAATGATATTTAAACGGTCAAATTTAATTACCTTAAATATCATTTTTTTTTAACTTTTCCCGAAATTTGGGGACTTGCCAACGTAATATTGAACTGATTTTGACCTTACTGAGATAATGTGGAGGCAAATCCAGGGGAAATTGGCTTATTTCGCGGGAAAATTGAATGACCTTTGAATTGACGTATTTGGGGGTCCGAGCCCCCCCTTAAAATTAAATCGAAGTGATTTTTGCAATTTTTACTTAAAAGCGGACACAATTTGGTAAATTTTCCCGTTTTATTTTTTCCTTTACGATAATTTGAACCGGAGTTATGATTTTTTGAAAATAGGTCAAAGTTGACCTTTGACCTATCATAACTCGGTCAAAAATGAAGATATTGATCTGCGGTTTGCGCCAAAATTCTTAGTTTTTTATGCTCTTTCGAATGAGGTATCACAAGATAGGGGTTGCCATTTGAAAAAAAAAAGTGGGGGGGCCCCCGTTCCCCCCTGAGGGGGGACCAAAATTTTGACCCCCCCAAAAGATGGTCCCCTTTGAGATAGGAACATCCCCAAAGTTTCATTTCCCTAGCTCAATTCGTTCAAAAGTTAGAGGGGGGGTCGGGGACTTTTCGCTCACCCTGTACAAAGCTACACACAAAGAAGACATAGAGAGTATGGGGCGATCCTATTGGTTGAAATGGGTGGTTCCTATAGACTAAGAAAGAAAATTATAAACTAACTATAGGGTCTCTCGTAGATTGCCGTTTGCTAGTCTATCACCTACCTGCTTTGTCCATTACAACCACCCGCTTCCACCAATAGGATCTCTCAATATCTCTTTTGTCTTCTTTGTCTATATGTTTGTCTATCATTTTCAATAATCGGCCCGCTGTTTAAGGTGGGCGGTTGTAGCCCCCACGCCGGACGCCGCCGCGGAGAGAGGCGGGAGACGCTCCTAAGGCTTCGTGCCTTATTTTGATCATGCTTTGCTCGAGAAGGATCGCCAAGACGGCAAAATGCAGTAGTCACTTCAGAGACTTTAACGCAGCGCTAGAAAAGTAGGCGTACCGATAAATGAGGGTACCGATATTCGATTGATTTATGATACATCAACTACTCATCACCACATCAACTACTACATATTTTGATTGATGCACTTCTACTGATGGATTGTAACTGGTTTCTTGTGGGATTGGTTGCAGGCGGCGCAAGGGGCGGTGAGCCTGGAGGGAGACGTGATCACTGCCAACGGGTCGATCCTGAGCGTCCAGATCGGGGAGTCGAGCTCGCTGGTGGAGAGCAACTCGGTCTGCAGCTGCAACTGCGGCGGCTGGACGCGGCGGCGCAAAGGTGAAGCCCCCCATCATTTGCTCCCCATCGTCCCGCAGGCACCCCGTCCAAGGGCATCCATATGACATCCCCTCTTGAACCTCACTTGTACAAATTCATTCGTCATTATTTAATAGATCCAGCTCACGTTTAACCCACTCCGATGCCGGTCCTCACGCCGAGCTCCCACAGGTCACCATGGGCCCCCCCTCATCGTAAGTTCAGTTTTCTATTCATTTTCATCCCGCTCTCTCCCCCCTCCCCCCTCCCTACACATTTGCACACGCTCAGCACGGGACCTGGACTTCAATGATATTCCATAGATGCAGGGGGCAGCTCAAGTATTACAACGGCCATTTTGACCTGCTTTTTGACCCCTCTCCCCCTTTCAAGCTGACACTAACAATAAGACAACTTTTTAGGAGCCGTTCATAAAGTATACGTTACGCTGCAGGGGAGGTCGAGGAGAAAGTTACGCCATTCGACGTGTTAAGTATGAATTCCATGTGAGAAAAGCTTTACGAGAGGAGGGAAGAGGGTCGGAAAAACCTATATTCAGCGTTACTTATTTAATGAACGGTCCCTGAAGCCCCTTTTTGAATCTTTTAAGTCTAACTTGACCTCCCTTCCCTCCTCCCGATTTCCTCAAGAGAATACAAAGAAACCCTGAAAAGTTGTTGAAAAAAATGTTTTTATTGGAAGATATTAGTTTTTTTGGAGGCTTATACGTAAGACTGGGTCTAATATTCTGAGAGGTCGCTGTCATTATGGTGCCCCACCTTAAAATGAACAACTTTTTGAAAATCCTCAGAACTGTTCTTTTTGATCCTAAAACCTCAAAAGTGAATATTCACCGGAAATGCAGAATATGTTAGGCAAATATTATACTTTCACTCGCAATCAGAGAGTGTTTCCGGCAATTGTCTAATGTAACTGAAAAAGTTGAGTATTCGATAGTTATTTCGTAGAGTTTTATTTTGGGATCAGAAGATGTGATAGTACGCTGAAAATGTTGTCTGCCTCATTTCGGGATGAGACATTTTTCCGGTATTTTTGCCACCTTCAAAGCCCTACTGCGGTAGAATATCCCTGTTCCGGTTAGGCTGATAACAGGTTTCAAGATCAGGGAAAAAATTTCTGTCTATATATATGAAAAACAGTCAATTGAATTGAGGCACCAAACTGACAGCGGCCTGCCGAACTAGGATCCCACCTCCCCTCGTAGGGCTTCGTAAGCCAAGATCAATTCCCCGCCCCAGTGGCTGACATAAAATTTTCACGGTCTCCAGGGAAAATATATTTTGAAGCTCTTTCCCGTGTTCTAACAAGGAGCTCAAACGGGTTATTGCGATGTCATTATAGCCCTCTTATTGACCAGCGATACAAGTGGGGTAATCAATGAGTATTTTAGAAGCAGCCGGATTGAACGTAGTTAGAAGCCCTTAGAACTTCGTACTCCCTATCTAAACGATGCAATCGGGTACAGCAAAAGTTAAACTTGGATGTCAACGCTACTTTTCGCCGAATGATGAGTTCTGTAAATTTACGAGTGAATGGATTCTAAATTATAATGATATCGTTAAATTTTCGGAACACTCCCGAACCCCTCCCGCTATTTTAAATTTGCCCACTTGCCTCCGCAGCTTTGATTAAAATTTGCATAATATTTTTATCGTTGCAGTTTAATTTTTCGAAATATTGCATGAATATCCCTGCTTACGCAAGTTGACCTTGTTCAGGATGTTGCCTGGCTACGCCTGCGACAAGCAACCCTTCACGTACAATCATAAACCTTTGAACCTTTCCAATTGCTTTAAAAAGAACGGTGATCGTCCCTCTAAGTATTGGTCTATGCTTCACGGCCGTGGCTTTAGACAAGAAAGAGCCCCTTATCGATATTCTTACAGGGCACAGGGTTCACAAGAATCACTGACATCGAAATAACTCGAAAACCACGACCTGCTAAAATTGCAACGTTTTGAATTTTTCACGTAAAAAGTATTTTTAGAGGAAAAATAAATCAACATTAGGTAATGTAATTTCCTCTGAGTTTCCTTCTCCACTCTATGACTATCTTGCAAAAATTTTCAAGAATGAGGTTACTTTTCTCCTTTTAAGAAAATTTGCTTTAGATAGAATTCAGCTCTTGAGAGTGATCATGAATCCTCTTTAATAATAAAACCTCGTTGCAATTGTTTGGAATGCAATCGTTGAATCTCTCGAAGTTTTCACCTGGAAGAAGTGGAAAACTGAATTCAAATCTTGTTGTTTTGCGGTTAATTTACTAGCTAATCTTTTTTCACGGATCATCGAGCACCCACACCTGCAGCAATGTGATCCATTAATTATTCTTTCTCTGTATTCAAATAGTATCTAATAAGTAGAAAATTTGATCCGACAAGTAAGTATCAATCGTCGCTCCTCGATGTATGCTTTTCGAGGATCGTGTGGAAATAGAGATCAATGGCGAGGCATGAATGATCGATTATTGATATTTCCCCATTTGAAGCTATGGTAAAGAATCGATTATTAAGGTGTTCATTGCGAACACCCTGTTCATCGATCCTTTTCCATAGCTTTAAATGGCACATAAATCGATATATCGCAAAGCACGTCACGCCACTGATAGAGATACGGCTTTACGTGAGAGGGGCGAGGATTTAGGAGAGTATAAGTATTTTTCGAGTCGGTAGCATGCATGCAAAATCCTTTTTTTTTTCTTTCCATGTAGACCTCACAAAAAATATTTAGTTTATACATATAGAAACAATACATGTAACATGGTGTGCACGTGCACCACAACTGAGTTGACAAAAGTTGTCACGAATGAAAAAGCTTTGCAACTCTCCCGCACGTTCAAGATAATTAGGTGTCAAGTTGAAAAATCACGAGGAAGCTCATTTGATGGTGAAGTGACAACCCAATCGGCAATTTTTCCTTGGTACAATGCTTGTTCGCACATTTTTTCAAATTTGAATGAACTTACCAAGCTTATCTTGCTAACACTGGAAAAAAACAAAACAAAAAAAACAAACAAAAAAACACATTGGATCTAGAGTCCAGACTCTTGAAAACATTGACAAGAAAAAATACTCTTGATTCAATCAGATTTTTGCTTAAATCAAAAGGAAATCCGCTCAAATTAAGAGGCTTGGTTCTTGATTTAAGCAAAAATCCGATTGAATCAAGAGTATTTTTTCTTGACGATGTTTTTAAGAGTCTGGACTCTAGATTTTTTTTTTCCAGTGAACGTTGCCACAATATAAGTGAGACATTTATTTCACATCTGAGACAAGCTTTGATCCCAAGATTGTGGCAATGTTATGTTTAAAATACTGCTTCAAAAATTAAAAAATATCTCGCAAAAATTATCATGTATAGACGTGATACTTATTGCGTGATATTTTAAAGTGTCATATGAGATCGACGCAGTAATTCTTAACCCTTCGATAAAATAACAATAATTTTGTTTCGATTTACAGATAACACTTGGAGAGAGATAATGATGACTTCTTAAGATACCGGTATATTTCGAACCCACCGAATCACACGCTCCTTTGCATCGGCGAGTTTCGATTACCGTAATGGTTCACGGACTTCATCATTCATAGTGTATAAGCTGTAAAAAAAAGAAAACGTTACGAAAGCCTTTTGTAGAACCTTAGTTGGACTTTTTCTCCGATCAAAAAGGTATTATCATAGCCTCAAGATCCGAGGGACATTTAAGTAGTTTTACCCATTTTCACTCCTTAGATTTAACTTGACATAAGCTTTGGGTCCAAATAAACTAATTCTTCCTCCAAACGATTCAAAGACTAGCTTTTGATAGCAACTGCAAAAGAATTAGCCGGCAAGTAGTTAAATTATTCAATTCACTTTATATTTAAGTGCAGTATTAGTCGACTCAACGGGTTCGTGCAAACACAATCAATATCATCTAATTTTATAATTTTGAATATTTTCCTATCTGCTCCCGATTGACCATTAGATAAGGTTAAAAAGCAAGCAGCACGATTCATGTTTTCTCATCAAAATTTTTCGTGGAATGCAATAGACGCATTCAGCTCATTTCATTTAAAAAGCCTGGCTTTTATCTCACTCCAAAGTGAAAAATTAGCGGTTTTTATAACAAAATAATTTTTGTGTTGATCTAATTCCATGCGTGCCTAGGTAAATGATTTCTCGGCAACTGCGCTCGAAGTAGTGGTACATCAAAGACACCAATAATTTTTTTTTTACTGTTGGTGTGCTTTGCAGATTGAAATTTTGATAAGTGGGGGGGGGAATAAAAATCTTCAAAAATTATTAATGCTGAAGAAATAAGTATATCTAAAATCTCCCAAAATCCGAGGAACACTTCTGTGAGCGAGTGAGCGCTGAGCGAAACTACTGCGCGGATGCCGCAAGGCCCCTTCAATTCGACGTGATACCTCTTGCATACCTGCGGAGTTAGTTTAGATGCATGTGAGATTACATGCTTCCAGAGCAGGAGACCTCATTTTCATCGGGAAAAAGAACAGAGGTTGAGTTGCTTTTAATTTATTTACAACATATTCATCCTTAAAAAGTGGCGCACAGTTTCAAAACTTATTTCGAAGCAAGGCTTGTTCCTTTCCTTGAGAATTAGATGCGCACAGTTCGGATTTTTTTCTGAAGAGTCGAATTGATCAATTTCATCGCAATTAAACATATTTCAGTAAACTTTTGATTTTGGTAGTTTGAAATGGGTTTTGTGTTTGCGAAATTTTTTGTTGAGAAAACATGCCTAGCAGTTCATTAAAAATGATGATGCCGTTTGCATAAAACGGTTATCCTTTTTGCGAATAACCCTCGATGGAGTTACGTTCTGTAATGCGCCTCTAATGAATACCGTTTAATTTCATGTTCACTCTTCACCAATCGTGAATCGCAGTTTACAGACGACTAATCCAACTCTTCGGCACTAATTTTGATTGCATGAAGCTGTACCTACAAAAAATTTGGGAGATTCGAGCCTACAAATTGAGACTGTTTTCATTTCCTTTTTGCTCCTCCTTCCTTCCCTTTCAGCATCCATGTTTTACATATGTACATAGTTTACGTAGGTAGCCTTAATTTTATCTCTTGTAAGATGTTTCATGAGATTTGATTATTCTTCACTCACAGCAGATCTGCGGCTGAGAATGAACTTCACGATCCTGTGTGAGTAATCTACTGATGTTGTAATACTTGAAAACTGCCACTGAGATATTCATAATTTTAACAGCACTGATCAGAGATTAATCACAGGGGAAACACTGTACAGCTAAACTCCAAAACCATTCGAAGTTCATTTACAACGTTTCGAAATTTCCGTGTATTATATATTTATTGGAAATAAAATAAATCGACACAATGGCTTGAAATTTCCTGTGATGTTTCTTTACCATTTCTTCATAATCCTGTTGAAATTTCGAGCCATCTTATTGATTTTTCTTGCTCTTCAATGAAAGAGGTACACATGGGAATTTTGCAAAATAGGATTTAAATACATGATTTTAGAATTTAACCATCGAACACGGGTCTCTGCGTTTGACGAAAGCACCAATGACACCGAGGGTAAAATGACCGATTACAAAAAAGTGAGTTTTTCTTGTAAAATAAGGGGGTTGAAAGATCCTGAATTTTGCACACTCATAAATCTGACATGATACATGGAACATATTGGATATTTCATCACCCACATCGCTGTCATTATTATTGTCATATTTGTAGTCACAATCGGAACTTAAAACTCAGAATAAGTCGAAGCTAAATCTTAAAGTCAAGCTAGCTAACGTCAGCCATATTTCATCGGTGCCTACAGTTATAGGTCAATAGAAGTTTGTTCTCAATTATTTTATTATTTTTTTAAAATATATAATTCGATAATGTGATGCAGATAACAAGTACTTCGATTGCACAGTCTCAACATTTTCGATGTTGTTTTTAGATTTTAATGAAAAACAAACGAACAGTTTTGTTTCAAATTTTCAGAAAATACTTTGAATGACTTGAAAAAATATGAGTAAAAATTCAGAAGAATATTATTGAATAGTTTTTCTTTTACAAAGGAAAAGGTGACAAGAACTATACAACGCCACCAATCGAGATATAGGTACGTGTTTTTTTACTTCCACCACTGAAAACCTTATAAATGTCCCTTCACGGCTGTAAAGTTTTCTTCAGATCTAACTCATCTTCTTGTTGGCAAATATTTGACTAAATTACCCACGCTTATTTACCTTTTTGTATACATAAAACTGATGATAATGATAATGAAAATTTACATCTCTGACTAAAATTTTTTGCTGTATTTTTTTGCGCTCAACAATTTGTCAATTTTAAATTTATCGATAATGATGAAATCACATCGAATGAAAATTCACGACTTCCCAAGGGACTCTGATATTGATTGAAACTTAAAAGCTGTGAGTTTGTTACTTTCGATCAATGTCAGTGTCCAAACTGAGTCCTACAATTTAACTTACTTTAAACCATGTGAAATGCAACTCGTGGCGAGTGAGTCAAATTTGGAAGGGAATGTACTGTCATTTTTTTTTTAAATTTTAGTCGTGTCACTCGTGTCAGTTGCTGAAATGTATCCAATTCATGTAAAAATGAACTATTAAAAATTCTTGTGATTCCTATAAACCTCCTCACTGAAAGTATGACTACAGCAATAATATGCCTCTCAAAAGCAATAGAAGTACCGTTGCAGTGCACCCACTATTACACCAACAGATACTGAATAAGGAAGTCCCCAGCGCAAAACTTCTTTTATCTCGCTAAATTTTTTATTTATTAAAACCAAAAGCTGTTGATGGATTTTTTGTAACTAAACTCAAAATTTAAATGCAAGATTTCTGAAAAAGGGCGACTCTTAAATCTTAGACGTGCACGCACAAGGACGTATTTAAGTATTTAGTGATTCAAGTTGAGGCAATCGAAACGATTTGATCATAAAGAGACTTATAGTGAGCACCCAAGAAAACAATTCTTACAATGACTGCTATGTTTAGATCTATATTTCTTTTATAGTCTTTCAGTCTGAGCAACTGTCCTCTGAGTTATTTTGTAAATAGTTGTAAAAATTAAATTGAGATACCTATTGCCTATGAATTGAAAAAAAAACCAAGCAGAGAGTCAAAAGATCCCCCCTCCCCCCACAATTTATTATTATTCAGATTGTCACTAATCTCTGCGAGCTTAATTTGAGAAGAATGCGAGTACATTCCTGCCTTCAGTACGATACGTCGAAAGGAGTTATGACCAGCCTCTTTCCTAAGCTGTCTCAAGTGAGAAAATTATTGTGACTAATTTATGACTAAAAAAAGTTTGATGAACCAAGTTGACATTTCTCCTCGGTTTGAATAAGATATAATATTGAATAGATCTGGCAGACCGCAGATCTCTTGATTATCGATGTATCGAGCGAAGTTGTTAATAAATTAAATGACGACATGGGCCATGAATATGTAGCAAGTCATCAATGACGCTATGGTGTCCAAATTCCATGCGAAAAAAACAAACAAAAACCTATGATAAAATCATAACTAGGAACTATGTTCTACTCGGTCTTCTCACTTCACCTTAAAATTACAATCTTAGCATCCTCGCAACTCATCACAAATCGTTGCAACTTTGTACTTGTACCACTTGGCCTCAGATATAAATTAATTATCCATTCATATGCTGTCTTTTACTTAGACTACGTCTAGCCTGTATATAATCTTAAGCATTTTTTATCTTCTGTTCAGATTCACAGTCAATGACTCTGTAAGGAAAACTTTTTTTTTTTACTCCTAACTTGAACTTTAAACTAGTATTGATCATAATTTAAGGAGCATATTGTAATATTTTAAGCCCAAAAATATATAATTGAAGTTTTGTAAATTTTATTTCGTTCATCAAATGTATATGGCTGTAATATTTTAAGAGCAAAATTCTTTTAAGTACATTTACACCGAGCTGCACAATTCAATTATTCGTTTTTGTACATTCACAAGTTTCTGAGTCTTGAGTGAGACTTCATTACATAGTTTTTCTTTTGTAGTGTTGATTAGCACATGTTTTGAGGGTTTCTATCATGACGTAACGAATCAAAATGGAGTTCATACGTTTCCTTGGCTCAATTCATATTAGATACCAGGCGCTTTTTATTATCTTTTTGCGTGGCAGGAGAAGTTTCGTAAATAGAAAAAGATACAATTATAAGAAAGAGAGAGAAAAGATGAAAACCAGGATTCGTTCATCTGCAAATGGACCGACTCACTTTGATGTAGAGGAATACGAATTGTATCATTTTAATCATATGCCTCATTTTTCCGAAGACAACACGGATAACTACACCGATTACTGCATGATACTTCTCCGATAAGCTGGCAGATGATCTCATCGATGAGTAAAACGATGATACAATAGAATACGTAACACGTGGTTTTTTAAAATCGGCACTCAAAGAAGTAAATTTATCAAAGTGTCGCAAAAATTCCAATTAAACCGCTCAAAATGAGGAAAAAGGCACTGATGTAATATATGTACGTATGAAAAAGGGAAAAAGGGAAAGCAACCAAATGTAACTGTTCTTTCTCATTGTATTTCTCTCCAGACTGATTCGTTACAACGCCGTGATTGAAATTCTAGCTTTATTGTGCAGGCCAAGCTCGTGTTCGAAGTTTTCAATGACGATGCGCAGATTATGTCCATTTAAATTGTAAAATATCGATATTGATCGAGGCATCCTGCCTTACCTAGATTCGATTATTTATAATGGATCCAAATGGAGGGAAAGAAATTTTACCGCCACCGTTCTGTGAAGGACTTAAGGTCAGGTATATGTACCTGTAACTCGCCACTTTACTGATTGTGGTTACATTTCAAAGGAATTGACGCATTCCGAATGAGAAATTGGAAGTCTTCCCTCAATTTGATCTCGCCATTCAAACTTTTTTTTTTCTTCATGTATAAATAAAATATAAATTTATGCACAAAATCATCATCATGAATATAATTTTATAACAACAGCTTAATCCAAATCCCTTTGAAATCAACAGTTTTCTTTTTTTTTCTTTCTTTTTAATTATTTACGATTTTGGAACTTGATGCATGCTGACCCTGGTAAAAATTGGCAGTTGAATCTGTATTCCAAAATACCATAGACCTACAGCCGGCTGTAAGATTTCCAATAGCTTCTATAGCCGGCAACACAATTTCTTATAGCCTTTCATAGCCGATAGCGATTAAGCAACAGCCTGGCGATGAGGTGTACCCATGCTAAACGTTACTAATTACGGACGCTAGGACTTAGTGAGTTTTTGGACTACCGCTCTCTTTTTTGGCCGTAGTATCTTGATTTATTTTGCGAGGGAAGCTCCGTACTTTTGAAGGATGCCTACCATTCCTAATATGTTGGAGCGCCTTCAATTTCGTATGATACTGTGCAATACCTCTGGTGTGAAATAGTTGCTTCAAGCGCCGTGGTACGCTGCGGCGCGGCGGGCGGGCAGCCAGCGCGAAACGCGTATTGGCGCCTACAAACCTAACAGGGATACTTCACGCATTGCGCGATGCGTGAAGTATCCCTGTTGGGTTTGTAGGCGCCAATCCGCCGCTGCTCCGCTTTGTGTTAGGCTCTAATATTTAATCTCGTGGAGTCAGCTTTTTTCAACCCATGACTTTGAAATGTTTGCACGCTCTTTAAGGATTATTCTCATTTTAATTGATGCAAAAAATTTGTAGTAAAGGAAAATATAATGTGCGTTTTTTAAATATTAGGGTGATTCCGTACAAACTTAAGGATTTACAAAGCACACGAACTGCTACACAATTTCTTATAGCCTTTTATAGCCGACGGCGAAAAAGCAACAGCTAGGCGATAAAGTGTAAAGCCCGGCGATAGGAACAGTTGCCCGGCTGTATAATTTTTTATCGCTTTGTGTAGCCCGGCCGTATGATTTTTTCCACTTTCTACAGCCAGCTATATGATTTTCTATCGCCTTCTTCAGTCGGCTATAAGAACTCCCATGGTATATTGAAACGCAGCTCCTATCGCCAATTTTTACCAGGGGACTCAGTACTCGAATGATGGAAAAGCGATAACGAATCACCGATAAAATTACAATTTATAAAATTTTGGGGGAAATTCTTTCAAATTTTCATTTTGAGAAGTGTTTAGAATAAAAATCAAAGATTTCTGTCTCAGATCAAGGTCCTGTCAAGATCAGGTGCTGGTACAAAGGTATATGAAAGGGAATGAAAATAATTGAAAATGAGGTGCACAATCACGTTCGCATGGACACATTTTTATTTTAAAATTTTCCATTTGGGTTATGTCATTACATTGGTTTTAATTATATTGTACACATCTAACAAAAATTATAACTTTTTCTCTCTTTTTTTAGAAAAAAGGAAATAGAACAAAAGAAAAAACACAAATTTTATACAAATCAGGAATGAAAGATAAGCTTTAATTCGAGATCGTACGCGCATAAATTCTTATCAGAAAAATCATTCAATACAAAATCATATTCAACGTCCTTTATATACTTTGAAAGTATAAATTTTTAAAATAAGGTCATTCAGCAGATCTCTTATCGAAGAAAATTTAATTTTTCCAGTCCTGCCTTTTCATCTTCATTTTCCTCATATATTAATACGTGACTGAGGGAAAAAGAAAGAAAGAAGCAAAGGAAATGTTTGTTGCAAACGTCGATGAATAAAATGAAATATTGATCAACAAATGAAGAGTCACTAACACAGTCGCTGGCGGCTGCGATTTTTGCGCTCCAAAACATTAATGAGAGAATTTAAACGATATACTTATCTACGAGCAGTCTTTTTGAGAATACGTTTCATTTGTCAAGACCACGTGCCTAATACTATGGCTAATCTCTGCATTCCTGAGGATAGGTATTTCTTAAATAACTAACAACTTAAGCAACGAATCATCTCATCACTCCTTTGCTCCAGTCAAGCCGAGTATCGTAAAAAAGTCTATTAGGTATGGCATTCATACTCATACCAAGTAAGGTACCTTCTATCACAAGATTTGGAGATCGTTTGCCCTGTGATGATTTTTTTTATTTTTTTGAAAATTAATAAACCGTGACACCACAATGATCAGACGTTCGAGGGCAAATGCGTACGTTTTAATTGCGGCCCGATGTTCGTTACGTGTTTTGTTCCTGTAAGATAAAGGGTCAGTGCACTGCACATCCATCAACTCGGCGATAAATGGGATGTTATCATGTTCGATGATTCAGGCTCACAAGAGATTTTCTGCCGAATCTGACACCGTGGTCCTGACAACGAATCAGTCGGAAATAACAATTGCATGATCGTGTATCACACGGACAAATAGACATGGAACTTCGTTGAATTGGCTCTTTTAAAACACTACTCAACATTTCGGAATGACACCCAACAAACAGATACGTGAAGTGCCGGAACAAAATGGGTTTTCGTCGCATAAACCGTTGTGGGCGATGTTCAGATTCGGCCATTCTATTCAGTTTGTCAAACTGAACTTTCGGTTCATGCAATCGACCTCTCGACTCGAGCAATCCAAATCTCAGTGTAAATTGGTTCAGCAGGAAACTCCGGCTACACGAACGGCAAATTCGGTTTGACCAACGGAAGCCTTTTGGAAGAGCCAATTCGATTCTGTTTGACGGGAATCTCAAATTTAAGTATATATAAAGGATAAACAAACGAGTGAATAAAAGAAAATTGATTAAATCTTCACGAGAGAACTAACAGAAAGCGATGCGACGTTCTGTGTCTAAACAACGTATTGTGCCTCGATAATACGTCACTCAATAGAAAGATAAAAAAAGGAGGAAAAGTCTTAGCCTGTTTTATGGAGTTGAGATGGTAGGAGCGAAAAAATTCTGCAGGATTCCTTATCGTGAATTTCATCCTCTGAGCTTACAGACACCTCATGAAATATTGACTCCAGTCAAAAAGTAAAATAAGGGATTAAGTTGCTATTCCTGATGAGGTTTCATCACAAAATATTCTCTTTAGAAAAGTTGCCTTCGTTTCGATAAATATGTGAAATACAAAGCTCGGACGTTCATTGTGAAGTTTATGATATTTCCCATGAGTTTAGTGTATGATGCTGAATTTGAGCAAAAGAGTAACTAGCAGAGCTATTTTTCGAAAAAAAGAAGGAGAAAAGAATATAGGAATAAAAGTCGGGTTAGTCTGCCAAAAGAACGAAAAATGGGCCAGCAGAGCTAGAATGACAACTGACACAAGACTTTTTCAACCTTTGGTTAAACAAGTTATGGATTTAGAGTTACTTGCATTCCCTGTAAACAACATGTGTTTGCAAAAAGACATGTGAAATTCATTAAAAAAATATACAAGATCATTACATGTAAGCATATTTTTGTACATATCGCACAATACATGAGGGTCATCATGCAATAAAACTAAATCTGTGATTGCAGCGAGTTTGTGTTCATATTTACAATATTTAAAAATAAATTTATCTGATCAAAATTCAACATTCATAGAGTTTCTGCAAATTTTAAACAACGATGATTTAAAGTTAGATACTGCGACTCGAGCGAAAATGAATTTCAAATGAAGCAAAGAAAGAGGAAGAAAATACGGGTTTTAAATTTGAGCTCTTAAAAGCAGCCAACGGTTTAAATTCACCGTATTGGGATGAACCGCTATAATTTCATACATCTTGATAAACTTTCAAAAAGAAGATTTCATGAAAAGACGGGTCCAGGTTAAATTTAGGTATATGCTTTTGGGGAAACTCAAAAGTGAGTAAGAGCGAAGAACTTGCAGGAACCCTGTGCTGCTGTGCTAAGAGAGAACACCGTATATACATTAACACGTTGCCAAATTTTTCATGATAAAATGCTGATTTTAGACGAAATTTATGAATATCTTGAATGAAACTTTCAAATTATTCGGATTCAATTTAGAGGAAAATTGTCTGAGAAAGTTGAAGAAAAATGTTGACAGGTTTCCCTGAAAATTCGCTGTATATCAAAAGAAATTTGGCATCGTTCGATGTCCATTCTGCAATCTACCCTGGTATGACAGTGTGTATGTTGAATCATTTATTTTTGGAGTATTGAATTTTTTTTATTTCTGAGCGTCTCTGACGAGCTCATTCGCAATTCAAAACTCAAGACTCTCAAACTCATTGCTATATCGCCGATCAAGAAAAGGGAGGTGCTAAATTTAAAACTTATGGCATAATCAGAAAAATATACCGATTTTTGTAAATCTTCATTTGACATAATTTAGAAACTTTCAGTAGTTAAGTAGTCCTTATTATTTTTTTTTTTAAATTCCTAACCAAATTGTCAAATGATGTTTTGTAATGCTACATTGCAATTAACCCTTTCAGCTCAGGGTTTTTAAAATTTATTCATAGGTTGTGCAGTCAGAGAAAATAGAGGAGTAAGTACTTAAAAAATGCATGCCTCTGCTTTATCACAAGTTAAAAAGTTTGACAAAGATGGGAGGGTTACAACTAATCTCAAACTAGATCTTACTTCTAATTTCCCCTCTAGGTAGTCAGTAGATACTGGTAAAATTCAAGACATCAAAGTAGGTACGTATCCTACAATTATTATTACAAATCACACATAGAGTTCACTGTTGTTTGTGTCAGAGTGACAAACATGAAAATACATAAACGAAATTACGCAGTCTTGCTCTAAAAATCAGTCTTGATTCAGAAAATACAATATGCATATTATAAACTAGAGCCCCTCCTTCTGAGCGATTCATTTCAGTAATAAGAATTGTACAACTTATTAACTTACAATTAGGAAACTGTTAAGTACATTCGATACTAATCAGAGTAGATTAATAGCTGAATAACTCTAAATTGATTGGCTCGAGAAAAACCAACAAAGTAAATTATAGAATAATAATAATAAATGAAAAGCGGGGTTTAGATTTAAATGCTTCAATGTGTGCTGAGCTGCGCGCCTTCAATTGCCGAGTAGGCAACAAGCTCCCCACGTGCCTTTACGGCAACAGTTACCAATGCAACGCGTTGATTTGCATGAAAAGAGATAGAGAGGAAAATAGCACAATTTGTAAGGGCTTCTGCCCTTTACTTTTTGTTTTTCTGTCGTTGAGGTAATCTTAAAATTCATTTTTAGTATCGTATAATTCATTTTTAGTATCGTATAATTACCTTGAGTACGCTTGTTCTCTGCAAAATGTAAAACGTGTAATTTTGGGCAACCAGAGAACGTAGGAAATGCATCAAAAGGAGCAGGTATATTCATTGGTGATGTCGCGTATGATGGAATCAAAATTAGTAGAAGCACCAGAATCCAGTTTTGAAAATTTTACAATTGGTTAAATGAGCTTTACTATTTATAGGATACTACCTATGTCAAAGTATATCCGAATGGAGCAAAAATAATTCTTGAGGTAACAGTAATCTCCCTGAATTATTTGAGGCTTACAAAAATAATTCTCGTACAGTGAGAAGTTATACATTTATTTAAACGGATGTGCTTTGAAGCAGAGCCAGAACAAGTTTTGTGATTGAAAAGTCGGCATGGATTGATTATTAGATTAAAAAAATAAATACTTCTCTTTACATACAACCTATCAACGCAGTGGGTAATCTAACCAAATACTTTCAATGAATATATGCATATGTACGGAAGTAAATTCCTACAAAGATTATTCTTGTCATTATTGCAAGGAAGGAAAGCAACACATGGAAAGTTTTATGTGACTGCATGCTTACATAAGAAATTGGGAGAGATTATTTTCTTAGCATATTTTATTATATTAAAAGTCAGATTCTAATAAAAATTTTAACCATCGCTACCGTAGACTTGAGCTGATCTATTGACCTGGAATTTTATACTAAAGGGAAGATAGTCTCTAAAATATATAGCCTCTGGCTTTTTCCATGGGAGAGCCTGGCTCCATGATTCTTGACAGATGAGCTCAAATCTCTGGTCGCCTGGGGGGGGGGGGGGGGGGGGGACAATAGTCTGATTTATTAGCTACGTCATTGGATATAATATCGAACCCTTGGTTCAAATGTAAACAAACACCGAACTTTGTTTCTGATTCGCGCCTTTTGCGCCATGGTGGTAAAATGCGTCCAGAGGTGTTTCTTGCAATCGAAATTTCTCGTGTTTAATGATCCTTTAATTGATTTATGACAGGTCAGTGACTACATTTTAATAATTTAACACAATTAAGTCATTAAGAATTCGTACATAAAGTTTTTTTTCTTCTTCTCCTTTCTTTTTTTTCTTTCCCAACACTAATTCGCTCGTGAGGTCGACACTCCGGCACCGTCTTCTAGCATAACATCGGAATTTTTTCCTTTCTTTATTTCTATTTTCTTTAAAATCTTTGTTTTTAATTTCTATACATTATAATACATTTTGCAGTTTTTAAATTTTTTTCTATAATTCTGTTTATGTCTAAGTTTTCTTTTAGTTTTTTTTTTCAATTTCACTTCTCTCTTTAGCAAATCTCTTAAAAATAAAAGAGACGTGTTCCGGGGTGTCGACCACGCCGCAATCCGGGCGAAGGGGAGATTCTATGATTCTACGATCGTCCAAATATTGCCTAAACGCAGGGGCGGACTCAGCAATTTGGCAACACCGGATTTCCTCCATTTAAACCTATGCTAAAGAATCGATTTATTTTGGAGCACTTGGCCCCTCCAGGAATCTATATATTTCCATAGGTTTAAATGGGGAAAAGCAGTGTTGCCAATTCGCTGGATCCGCCAATGTCTGAACGATCCTTGTCCTGTTAAGAACTTACACGAAGTTACGTTAGTTTATTTTGGTTTGAACCAAGAGTTCGATATTATCGAAAGACGTAGTCACTAAATGAGTCTATCAGGTTCGTGATTGGGGTACTAGGGGAAACGGAGGTGGGCGGGCTACTTGCTCCTGGAGCCGTGAGCCCTGTGGAGGGCGACCCCGGAGTCCTGCGAGGGGGGTCTGTTGCCGAGGACCGGGAGGCCCTCCTCGTCGCAGAACTGGTCGGGCGCTGACCAGCGGCGCTTCTTGCAGGCGACGTTCTCCTTGCTGGCGCTGGCGAGGTCCTTGCCGGGCTGCCCGGGTTGCGCCTCGCTCTTGCCGCCCTGCGCGGGGCTCTTCTTGCTCCGCCGCCTCTGGTCCCGCTCGCGCTCCTGGCTCTGGCTCGCCCCTGCCGGCCCCGGCTCGCTCGGCCGCGGGGACAGGGATATGCAGACGTCGCCCACCTGGAGCTTGTGGCACTCCAGCCCGTACTTGCGGAACGTCACGTCCGGCGAGCACGAGGCCCACCCGTGCCCCATCACGAAGAACGGCTGCTCCATCGCCGACTCCAGCTCCACCTGGTGGCAAAAGAACAAAAACATTCTTAGAAATTGATTGAGCCCTTAGATGCTGAAGCCGCCGGGTCAAATTGACCCGGAGCTTGATAAAAATAACAAAAATTGCATTTATGCGCTTTGTCCTCCCTAGAGTCCCTTTATATTAAGAGTAAATACAATGCGAATCTATTTCTGATTGGTTCCCGTATTTTAGGCCATCACAGTGTCACAAACGGGAGTAAAGATTACACTTTCAGCGATTTTTATTCAGTGTTCCGAACTTCTTTAGGAAGTTCTGTCCTGGTTTGTCTCATCAATCACCAACACCAGTGGACACCGTTTGTACCAGATTCGACCAATCAGATCCGTTGTTTTGCGATAGGTCGAACCTTTTTTAGAACCATCTCGCGAGGTGGTACCAAAATCACGCACGAACGTTGTGATTCGTTAGTCACCGAATCGGAAGTTCAAAACTCAAATAGAATGACAGCTCGGAGGTTCGGGCACAAAAGTAGCTTGGCGATGTTTTTGAAATTCATTTTTAACCCTTAGATGCCCAAGTCTGATCAAATTGATCCGAGGCTTAGTATACACACTTAACCCGCAGTTCGTATGAGACCGGTGCATACGGGCTTTAGATATAGGTCTACAAATGTATCCTTAAAGAAAAAATTGGACGTAAAATTGAAAACGAGTGTCAATATGGCCGCAGATAGGAGAGATGTAATCTTGCCTCGTTTTTTAACTTTTTTACCGAATCTAAGAAACAACTCATTGCAAGTCACGCCTCGCGCCATCGCGCCTTCAATTTGGCAGATGCAACACGGACATCCATCAAGTTCGAATAGTTGTATCCCTCAAATTCGTCTGATCATGACCGAGGTTGAGCCACTAGTTTGCCAATTTTGAGTACTTACACTTCATGCTTTTTTATTGACTCGATAATGAACGGAACGCTTCCAACTTATTCTTCGAGGTATTAGATTTTGTTTTCCAATCAATTTTTTTCTGAAATGATAACATGAATAAAAAAGAAAAATCGAAATTTGATCGCACAACCTGGCACTCTTGTTTCCCGTCGAAAATTCGATTTTTCGACTCAACTTGACAGTAGTTGCTTTCTTGAAAACGATACCTCCATTCACGGATGCCCTTTTCTCCGTGTAGAGCACTATTTTTAAACTACTCTCCGAGAACTAATAACATGAAAATACGAAATGGGTTATCGGATTTTGATCTGGAATATCAGATGAATAATAAGTGCATGTTTGCGAACTTGAATCTATAAACGTCGCCGAGCAGTGGATCTGGATCCATTTGCTGGAAATTACGGACCCGTAAGAACCTTGAAAAGCGCGCATACATATTTATGCTCTTGGTTATAGGTCATCGACTTCTACACGCAAGTATTCCAGACACGCGAATATTATTTGAGAGTACACCTTTAGGTACTTTTATACTTTTACCATAACTTTGGAGAATTAACCGAGAGTTTTATGGCAATACAAATGGAGTAGAGTGAGTTAAGACAACTCACTTTTGGTTGGGCCAGGGTTGGGCTGAAAGTGGCCTAAAAAAAAATCCAATTCTGATTGGTTCTCGCTCATGGAGGCCGAAACGAGTGCACCAAGATGGCGGTACCTCGAATGTGAACAAGAATAATGAAAATATTACCTAATTGTGGTTTATCAAGAGTAAATTGTTATTTCCATCGGTCCAAAATGAATATAGATTAAGAAATTATTCACAAACCAATCNGCCGGGCTGCCCGGGTTGCGCCTCGCTCTTGCCGCCCTGCGCGGGGCTCTTCTTGCTCCGCCGCCTCTGGTCCCGCTCGCGCTCCTGGCTCTGGCTCGCCCCTGCCGGCCCCGGCTCGCTCGGCCGCGGGGACAGGGATATGCAGACGTCGCCCACCTGGAGCTTGTGGCACTCCAGCCCGTACTTGCGGAACGTCACGTCCGGCGAGCACGAGGCCCACCCGTGCCCCATCACGAAGAACGGCTGCTCCATCGCTGACTCCAGCTCCACCTGGCGGCAAAAAACAAAAACATTAGTAGAAAATTGAATTAACCCTTTGATACTGAAGCCGCACGGTGGATTGAGTCAATAGGAGAGATCGGACAAAATGTGGAAATTTGAAACGCTTATAACTCCGTTTATACAGAACTTTGAGGTTCTCTGAGTGGTTCCATTGGTATCCTCGTAAAATTTTCCTCCGCGAACACCCCTTAAAATTAAAATGTGACGAAATAAACATCAAAATGTGCAGTTACAGTTGAAAATTTCATGTCCGACCTCGCTAATTGGCTCGGTCCACTGTGAGGCGGACTCTCGGGCGCTTTGTTGATGACGGCGCTTTGATACAACTATTCGTACTCGATGGATGTCCGTGTTGCATACGCAGAAAATGAAGGCGCACCAGCTGTCTCGTTTTCACAATATCAATGCTTGAATGCAACTTTTTGCGCTCGATAGATGCGTACATGTTGCATGAGCAAAACATGTAAGCACTGTATGTTTTCTGGCACTTTAAGAGACGGGCTCATTCTAAATTGTTGAATCGTTCTGCGGGCCGATTATTGAAATTTATAGACAAAGCTATAGACAAAGAAGACATAAGGAGTACAGAGCGATCCTATTGGTTGAAATGGGTTCTCTAAGTGGTTCCATTGGTTTCCTCAGGAAATTTTCTTCTGAAAGTACCCCTTGTTTGAAGTGTGACGAAATAAACATCAAAATGCAGTTTTAGTAAGAAAATGTTATGTCCAACCTCTCTAATTGACTCGATCCACTGAGAGCCGGGTTAAATTGGCCCGAGGCTTGGTAAAAAAAAGTGTCCCGCGGGTCCTATGGGACCGGTGCATACGGGCTTTAGATATAGGTCTACGAATGTGTCCTTAAAAAAAAATTGGACGTCAAATTGAAAACGAGTGTCAATACGGCCGCAGATAGGAGAGATGAAATCGGGCCTCGTTTTTTAACTTTTTTACCGAATCTAAGAAACAACTCATTGCAAGTCACGCCTCGCGCCTTCAATTTTGCAGATGCAACACGGACATCCATCAAGTTCGAATAGTTGTATCCCTCAAATTCGTCTGATCATGACCGAGGTTGAGCCACTAGTTTGCCAATTTTGAGTATTTATACTTCATGCTTTTTTATTGACTCGATAATGAACGGAACGCTAACAACTTATTCTTCGAGATATTGGATTTTGTTTTCCATTATTCTTGCCAGATATACTGCGAAAAAATCAAATTTTCTCTGAAATAATGACATGAATAAAAAAGAATAATCGAAATTTTATCGCACAACCTGGCAGTCTTGTTTCCCGTCGAAAATTCGATTTTTCGACTCAACTTGACAGTAAGTGCTTTCTTGAAAACGATACCCCCATTCACGGATGCCCTTTTCTCCATGCGTAGAGCCATATTTTTAAACTACTCTCAGAGAAGTAATAATATGAAAATACGAAATGGGTTATCGGATTTTGATCTGGAATATCAGATGAATAATAAGTGCATGTTTGCGAACTTGAATCTATAAACGTCGCCGAGCAGTGGATCTGGATCCATTTGCTGGAAATTATGGACCCGTAAGAACCTTGAAAAGCGCGCATACATATTTATGCTCCTGGTTATAGGTCATCGACTTCTACACGCAAGTATTCCAGACACGCGAATATTATTGGAGAGTACACCTTTAAGTACTTTTATACTTTTACCATAACTTTGGAGAGTTGACCGAGAGTTTTATGGCAATACAAATGGAGAGGAGCATAGCAATTTCAAAAAAAAAAAAAACCGACATTTCCTTGACAAAAGGGAAAAAATTCCTAATTTTTTGACACGTTTGAGCTTATTAGATGTAAGTAAGAATTGTTTTCATGTTTTAGGAATATAATGTAATAAATAGAGCAAAATATATGACGCCTGAACTTATGCGAGATAATTTTGCCTCATTTTTAAAATTTAAGAGACATCAGCAGAAATCTTGAGAGAAATTTTGGTGGAATTTCCTGCAAGATTAAAATTCGCGAAATTTTTCCGGAAATTCCGTGTTTTCCGATTTTTTTGACGCTTCCCTGACGCGAAAATAGCTTGCAAAATAAAATTCCCTGTCATGCCGAATTTTAGCAGATTCATTCAATTGATTTGAAAATTTTTGAAAGTTGAAGTATGTATTCCCATGCTAAGTAAATTACGAGTGCAAACTTTTGAACACCGCAATTAAGATCGATAATTTGGTAGTTCCTTCATCGGTATGCTACTTGTCTTGCGAGTTTTTCGAGTAGAGCGAGTTTTTCAAACGGGAGAATACGAGAAAAAAAAGGGGGGAAAAAGAAATAAGCAGTTCGACTTTCTGTGAGTATCGGCATCGTTTGTTGTGCACTCATCCAAATAAATGTAGGTATTAGTAGGTGGATATTTTTTGCTCCTCTGGTGAGGCTCTTGAATAAATCAGATTTGCCCTTGGGAGTCTGTTGCTAAAAAGTTAGTTAATGGAAAGTCTGACCTTCTCGCAACTTTATCGGCGATTTTTTTTTCAGCATCGTTTTTTGTCAGTCTCTGCCGTATTAAAATACGATGTCTCATCGGCAAACCTACTGCAGAATCAATCTTTCCTATACTGTCGTACTAAGGAAAAACGCCGTATGAACATTTGAGAGTTGCCTTTCCCTTCATAAAAGATGTATTTTTGACGACATTCGTGCATATTTTCCTTGAAATTTTCAGATATTTTAGATTAGATAGCGTGCAAAATTTTCTGAAAATGTTGAGTAAAAATATTCAAAATTTTTCCAGTAAATTCGATGTTTATCAAAGGAAACTTGGCAATGTCCGAAGGCTCATACGGTGTTCTTCTCTAGCACGGCAATATTGTGTTTTGCTGACTTTCCTTCTTCGACCGTTAGTTCCCAGTACATCTGTAAGGGGGAAAAAATAAAGAAAAAAGGGCATCAGTCCTCCGTAGCATCGCGATGTACGAGCTGAGCAAATGTTTGCTCTTCTTGTGATATTTTAAGGATATATTTTGAGAACAATATGGGGAGCACCCTGGAATCAGTGGCGTGGCGTGAATTGCGATATATCGATTGTTATGCCATTTAAACCTATGGAGAAGGATCGATAAACAGGGTGTTCGCAGCGAACACCTTAATAATCGATTCTTTGCCATAGGTTTAAATGGCATAACAATCGATACATCGCAAAGCACGCTACGCCACTGCGTGGAATAATGCCCTGAATAGGGATCGAAGTTCCCCGTGAAAGTTCAAAGTCGAGTACAGAAATTCTCGGAAACTGGCTGGGGAATATTGAGTGTGTACGCGCGTGTGTATTTCTGTATCTAGAAAGCAGATTTTTGTCGGGATTCCTGGAAACGGGACATTTTTCACTCCGATTTCCCGTAGTCGCGATTCTCTCTAAGCGGCATGTTAACGCATGTTAAACAATCGAAATATATCGAAGTCGCCTGCCGCGCCTGAAATCGATTGTTTATTATGGATTTAAATGGAGAAAAAGCAGTGTCGTCAGCTTGCGAGAGACCCACTGATCCCTCCTCGCAGCGATCCTTTTCCTACCCTGCAAAAGAGGTTGCTGCAACAAGTCGTCGTTTCCCAGATGAAGGAATGCATCCTCACTCCAAGGTTGGAAAATATACTTGCACAAATCCTTTTTTTACACGAAAATGACAGCGTAATGTCTGATCAAAGCTTCGCTGAATTTATATAGCGATCCATGGAAAAATCAGCGACTTTTTCGATAAAAAATGCCAAATAGTTTCCGAGTAAAAATAAGAATTGTGAAATTAAATTTGGCAACTTTGAAATGTACTTACGTTCCTTCGGCCGGGAAACGAGGAATTGCTAAATATATTGCGTATCGATATTTTCCTGGCAATAATACACTAAAATTGGGGCAATAGTGTGACAATATTGTGGAAAAATGCAGCAGGAGAGTCACCAGTAAACTTTGGCAACCCACCTCCAATCAAAAGTCATCTTCATTTTTGGGCCCTAAATCAGTGTCCCATGATGTCGATATTCTCTCCATGGGTAAAGGCACTCTAACTTAACTTCCCTGGCGAATTTAATTTTGCTCGTGGGCCGCTCGTCGCGTCACTAATGGGTCATCAGCAGGCGAGCAAAAGTCATTTACAAAAACTAGGGTAACTCATTAGTGCTCGGTCATTAAGGTACACTGCCTTGCAAAGTAAAAACGCCGTATGAGCTTCCGAATGTTGCCAAATTTCCTCCTACAAAATATATAGTTTGGAAGAAAGTTATGAATATTTTTCCTTTGAATTTTCAGGTTTTTCAGATCAAATTACTAATGAAATCTTCTGAAAAATCGGAAGAGGAATGTTCACAAATTTTCCTTAAAATTCCTGATTTTATCTAAGGAAATTTGGCAATACCGAATGGCTCATACGGTGTTCTTCCTTAAGCACGGCAGTACACGGGCCCAGTCACGACTACACTGCCGTGCTAAGGAAAAACGCCGTATGAGCCTTCGGCCGTTGCCAAATTTCCTCCGATAAAAACCGAAATTACTGGGAACAATGTGAATATTATTTTCCAACAATTTCAGACAGTTTTGTGCGCAATTTAATCTAAAATGTCTGAAAATTTAAAGGGAAAATGTGCTTAATTTTCGTCAAATATACACGTTTTATCACGAGAAATTTGGCAACTCTCGAATGTTCATACGGCGTCCTTCCTTAGCACGGCAGAACACGACTCCGACTTGACAACACCTCCCGGCACAAAAATCCGAGTGAGAGCTGACTCATGGTGGACGCGTAGATGCGGCAATGCGGCGCTAGGAAACCGGTGGCTGCCTGGCGCTACGGGCGAGAGGCGCGCGGGGACACTGGCTGACAGCGACGCAGGCGCTCTGTCCGCCAGTCAGCCAGTCCCAGCCAACCGCGCACGATCTCGTCCGTCTCTTGGTAACAGTTGCGAGTGAAAATGGATTCCGTCAAAAACCTCGCGTACAGCATCATCGACAAGTTCCTGGCCCTCC